AGGGAGTGCACTGGAGATACACCCAAAGGAGGGCTGATGCCACATCATCGCCAGGTAAGTGGAGAGAGAGTGAATCAGGATGGTGTTTAATGGGAGGCATCCAGATGGGATGGAGTGGCTATACGAAGACGAGGAATTCGATGTGGATGATCCACAGGATGTTCAGAATGCGTGCTATGGTATTCGGACCTTTAGCGGAGAGAGATTGGAAGATATGTTGATGAATGCTAGGAGGTTGATTGCACAGCGATGCTTCGAGCAGAAGGTGTTCCGTCTGGTTGAGCCCGAGAGCGACAGCGACTTAAGTTGGATTGAGCCAGAGGCTGTTGCGATGCGGGACAGGTTCCAGGATCTCGTGGCCCGTGTGTTCTTCCAGGGGACTCTGGTGGGAGGAGGCGCTTTGATTCATCCCGATGGCTCGATTCTCACATCGATTTCCTGTCTTCCCAAGCCCCGTGGGGATCCAGACCACGTCTTTGAGGTGGAATTCAAGTTCCTCAAGGTCAAGTACTCAGCCAGAGCTATGGATCTAGACGAGTTTTCTTTTACGGCGGTGCTAGTTCCCATTGAGGATCAGACCTCAACATTCCATGGCAAGCAGTGTTTCGACCGACATGTAGCGGTGTCCGACTGTGACCAGATCCTTTACGCCTTTCAGCTGGGTATGGATGTCCCCAAGAAACGTCCAACCTCTATGGATCTCAAACAGCTATGTGTCAAGCAAGGGATTACCATTCGAAGCAAAGCCAAGCCCAAGGTTTCAGAGCTCGTGGCGGCCTTGGAAGAATTCCGAGTGATCAAGATGGTTTGCTATGATGACATTGGGATGCATGGAGAGCTCGCACTGTCCATGGGGGCCGTGGGTGACATGGCTATAGGGTGCCCGGTTCTAAATACTTGGGGACGAATGGTTGGAGTTATTTCGGCTATCCACAACGTTCCAGAGCGAGCCAAAGATCCACCGCTGCTTACTTTCTTTGGGGGAAGGGAGCCTTGCGAGTTCCAGTGCGTCGATGATTTTAAAGAAAGCAGATCTTCTGAAGGAGCTGAGGGACAATGTTGTGGCTGCTAAAACCATTGTGGAGTTTGCTAACGATCTCAACACATAGTACCCGAGCTTGGAGTGGCAGGAAAGGAATTCTCTCGAGAACTTCAGGAAAAGGAGGTTCAAGGATGAAGCTTAAACTCATACTTTTCTATGTAAAGGTTTTTACTACTTTTAATAATAATTTAGCTTTAGGAAAGGAATGGAGCTTAGTTTTCCTTTTCCAACGGCCAACTCCGAACCTAACAAGCAAATGTTGCAACACTAACGCTTTGCCTTGTGATGCGATTGGTCTCTACTGTCAAAACAGGCCTTCTCAAACATTGCTTTATTCCAAGAAATGTTCACTACAGGAATCATCAGAAGAAAACGTAGACCCAGCGGACACTTCCCAGCAAGGTGGTGTCGGGTGATGACGAGGTGGAGCTCCGGTTCTCTACAACGTACACGGAGATAACGCCAGGACCAAAGCATAGCTGAAAGCTCTCAATCTCTCAGTGACAATTTCATGGGGGTAGTGTATGTTTCTATACGATAATTTTTTTAAAGGCTTTTTTGTAAATATTTTCTAGGGGGAAGGACCAAAGGGATTCCATAGATCTATTAAAGAGATATCCGTACGATTAAAGAGATTAAATCTTCCTCATAAACATAAGATTATAAAAAGATGTTTTGACGGACTACACAAATTTAGACCTTAAGCACAATGTCAATAAAATATTGAAAAAATCATATTCATTTATATTTTAAGTAAATGAATTCATTAGGGTTGACTTACACCAACGTCCTTGAATATTTACAAAAAAGCCTTTACAAAATTATACGAAACTGTCACTGAGAGATTGAGAGCTTTCAGCTATGCTTTGGTCCTGGAAGTTGTCTCCGTGTAGTACTGGTCACGGATGGATCAGTTCCGCCAGCAGCTGGAGCTGATCGCGCAGGAGCAAGCCATCATGAAGTCGATCGCACATCCAAACGTCGTCAAGCTCCTGGGGATGATCAGTGAGGATGAGCACGACGAGCTCTCCACGAAGTACCTGGTGATGGAGTTCTGCGAGGGTGGCGATCTGGATCACTACATTCACCTCAACAAGAAGGTCAGCGCTGGGGTCGCGAGGACGATCATGCTCCAGCTAGCGGCGGCGCTCCAAGAGCTCCGGAGGATGAACTTGATCCACCGGGACCTCAAGCCCCACAATCTCCTGCTCAAGAACAAGGTCGCGCCGGGGTCAGATCCAGAGGGAGAAGCGATCGTGGTGAAGCTCACGGATTTTGGGCTGGCGAGGAAGCTCCAGCCGCAAGGAATGGCTTAAACAATGTGTGGAACGTATCTCTACATGGCCCCGGAAGTGATCTCGCACAACAAGTATGACGCCAAGGCCGATCTCTGGAGCGTCGGGGTGATGCTCTACCAGATGATCACTGGGCGGAGGCCGTTCGAGGCCTGCAGTAGCGAAGATCTCTTCCGCAAGCTCGGGAACAAGATCCAGTTTCGAGGAGAGGATTACTGGGATCCGGATTGCCGCGATCTTTGCGAGGGGCTGCTGAGGAAGAATCCCTTGGAGAGGATATCTTTCGAGGAGTTCTTCAATCACAAGTTCCTGCGAGGATCGAGCAAAGCTGCACTGGTTTGCGATCAAGAGAAAGCCGACAGCGTTGCGATCTTACACCGAGCGCCACGGCCACTGGAGACGATCCCCGGGGATCGCCAGCGGCCTGTGAGAGGGAGGAATCCACTGATGGACTCCATTGAAGAGAGGATTGCCAGAGAGTATGTGATGGTGTCTAGCCCCAGCTCTTCAAAGAACAAGCATCCTCACTGCCCGATTCCAAAGCCAGCACCGCCGCCGCCGCGTGCGCATCCACCGAGCAAGAATTCGAGCAAGGAAGATCTGGAGCGCAGCGAAACCCTGCGAATCTGCGCCAAATTGCTAGGCGAAGTGGCAAGATTCAAGCTACAAGACAGTAAGAAGCTTGAATCCCTCTCGCTCTGCCTCGCCGCGCTTGGATCGCTCAAGCGCGCCTTGAGCATTGCCACCACGCCCCAGCTCTTGGAGGATTTCTCGGCCGCCCTGGACGAAACCGAGGCCGTAGCGGCGAATCTCGACAGGAGCTCGGATCAGGCGCTGCCAGATGCGGCGGAGATAATCTATCAGGCAGCGCTGGCGGCAGGGAGAGCCGGGGCAGTGGACGAGATCCTGGAGAAGCGAGGGCGAGCATCGGTCGAGTATGCCAAGGCATCAACGTTGCTCTTCTTTCTCATCATGGATGACTCCCCGATCCACCTACATTCGTTAGATGTTGCTAGCGCACACCATTGCTTCCACGCTATAACAGTGCGTCACAAGCAGTGCAAGAACGCCAGCCACTGATTTCTTTAAATTATATTAATACTAAATAATACTTCATTTATTAGTTTGTAGCCATAATTATTTTTTATTTTTATTATTTTATTTAAAAGAGTGTTTTTTTTTTTACGAATATTTTATCTTATTATACCAAATGTTTCATTATAGTTTATTCAATTTGCACTCAATGTTAATATGTGATTTCCAATGTATTTATTCATTTATCTAGATATAAAATTGATATTTTGGGGCTCAATATATCAAGTTATGGGTAGTTCAAAAAGTTTAATTATATTACTACTTCTAGCATATTTAATAGTTACACAATCCCGTGATTTATTTAATAATACTATATCTAGAACAGGTAAATTATATTTAAACTTTTTCTAATTCATTTTTATATTTATATTCTTTCAGTGCCATGTCTTCCACAATATCATGCATGTTGGCCAATATTTTCTGTATGTTGTGATGACAGAACTTGTGTTTTTGTTTGTTAGTATAGTTTGGTATTATTAAAAATTTCTTATACTAATTTGATTTCTTTTTGTGGAAAAGATTATTTATTAAAAATTAATTCATATTTATTTGTTGATATACTAATATAAAACTTTCCATTTTATGATAATATATATTTTGGTTCTCAATTTTATATTTATAGTTCCCCCTTTTGCCTTTAGAAATCATTGAGGATGTATGTTGAACAACATAGAAAAGACTACAAGCATTGACAATGTCAAGAATATTGATGTTATAGTTCTACTTGACTAAAAACTTTTATATTAGAAGCACACCACCCTTCCTAACCTCTAATCCTACCAATTCCTGACTGATCCTAAGGTCTATTGCTCTAATTCTTGCTCTAATTGTGTGCATCAAGATCTTACTCTTGCTCTACATACACTTCTTCCATTATTTGAGTTCTCTTGAGCCAACAACACTAGGTCGTTCTTGGGCTAACTTTCTCTAGTTATAGAACATAGAAGTAGACACATTAGCTTGCATGTACACCATTTTGTAATTCTCTATATGTGAAGTAAAATCATAAGGTCTTCTTAATATAAAAACATAGATATAAAACTCAGTTTGTGCCTGCATTTTATCCATAACTTTAGCTTTTGATCTCTCTGTTTTTGTTCTTCTTCAAGCTGGATTGTATAGTCAATCAAGGCATGTTCTCAATGCCTAGATGACAGCAGCATGTTCTTCACCTTGTTGGAGCTGGTGCATTGTTGGTTTCGCATAATCTAAGCTTTTGGAATGGGTTAATCTAACAGCCCAATGCTAAAGGTATTGCATTCCAAAAGGGAAGAATTTAGGATACCTTCCAAGTCATCTTGAAGATGTCATACATTAGGGCTTTCTGTTGTGTCCATTAGTGTAGTGTGCTTAATCCCGATTTATCTCATGGTATTGGAGTTGGGATAGTGCTATGGAAGGAAAACCATCCATCTGCAAGTTTGATGAAGAAGGTTTTGAGGGATTCAATATCCATTTTGAATCCTACCTCTTGTTTCATGGTTTATTGGGGGTTGTAGATGGGACAGAGCTGGGGCTCTAGCATTGTTGAGGTGCATGACTGGATTCCAAGGCTAGAAGGAGCAGTGCAATGTGCCTGTCAAATGTTTTCTTTGCTACTTCATTAATTCCCAAATTCATTTTTGCAGCACTCTGGAAATGTTTGAGTACCTACAGCACCAAGAGTGAGATGGATATCTTCAACATCCATTCACAAATGGACTCCCTTAGGGTAGAGGAAAATGGTATTATATAGATTTATATTGCCAAGCTCTAGGGCTTCTTCACACAGCTTGCAACTGTTGGAGAATGAGTATGGCTATCTCAACTCAGCAAGCAGCCCTCGAGCTTAGACTAGTTCCCCGCTAAAAGTAGTGAGTGCAATGTACTTGGCTTCTATGTTAGAAAACACTACCACAAGTTGTTGCTTGGAGGCCCATGCAATGACACTTCTTGAGAAGCAAAAGCAGATTCTAGAAGTTGAGAAATGGCCTTTATTGTTAGCAAAGATAACATTGATGTAGCATGTCAATAATGCATCACCTCCCGAATAAAAAATGCACTTGGCAGCCACAAGCACAAAAAAGATACACACACTAGCCATTTTGATAACCAGTGAAAATGTTACATCATAATGAAGGTCACAGGCAAGATGAATTTCTTTTTGGGATCTAGCTTTTTCAAAAGTTGATCAAGGATATGTGTATAGAAAGTGGGACATATTAGGACTAGAGTCTATCCAAACCATGGTGTGAGCAGCATGGCCATGTCCAAGAACCCTATCCAACATGCTAGCTCAAAGCACATTGAAGTCCAATTTCACTACATGTGTGGGCTGGTCGACTGCAGCACCCATCACCAAGCCATTGAGGCCACACTAGTTTCAGCTCCTGTGCAACAGATTTGGTTTGGTAAGTGACACTCCTCACCACATATACAGTAGGGCTTGATTTGTATCAGAAGAGTGAGCTTAAAACCCTCTACTACGAGCCAAGTCGAGAGCTTTCCTCAAGCCACCCAGCTCGGTTGTCCTTCACGCACGTCATTGTTCTTGGAACTCCTTCGATTGCTGTAAGTTTCTTTCCTTGTTCTTAGTTCTTCATATCTTACCGACAATTTATGTAGCTCGGGTATACTTCTTGGACGCAAGCTGATACGAAACATTATACATTTTATGGTGACCTCCTCTCGGGAACTTGGGATGTATGGGGAAGGATAGCTGGCCATAAAGGAGTATGTTTTCTATTCAAGTTCATGCATTGTTTAGCTGATTTCTTATCTTGGCATGCAGGCGTTAGTAGCAGCCGCTATTGGTAGCCATGGCAATCGAACAAAAGGAGAAAAGCTTTACAATTGCTTTACATTATTATTTCCTTCACTGTAAGTCATGTACATTTATTCCAGTTACATACCGAGTAAAAGTCCTTGTGCAGGTTCCAACTTATAGTGCTGATGTGCCAAACACCTGCAAGGAACTTTGGGTGTTCGCTAATTCTCTTTTGTCTCTGTTTTCTTATGTTTGGTCCTTTTCAGTTGGTATCATATATGGCGGGGATTGTTTTTTCAATGCTTGGGCTAGTTGTTTGCTGCGCAGCAGCCCATACGGGAAAATAATTTTGTGCCAAACAAACCTTAAGAAGGCGTGAGGAGCTCTCGATCAATGGTTCCATATGCCTCTTGGAGCTCTACTTTGATCGGGCTTTGTTTCATCACTGAAACACCTCGCTGGGAAAAGAGTTCAATTTTCTCCTCAATATTGGAAATGCCGATCGTAGCAAAGATCTTGCTGCGGCTCTTCAGAAACTAGGAGGAAAAGATTATAACATAAGCTCGGAGCTTTCAGAGATTCAGGTAATGGGAACGTTTAGTTTTCACTATAACATGAAGTGCATTAGAACGTTGCAGAGATATCCGCTAGTTACAGAGCTATTTCGATTACGACTCTCCCAAGCTCTTTCTTCCTTTGTCCGTTTGTCTCAACATGAATATTTTTTCTGTATAGCCAGGAATAGGCCTCATGGCCTCGCAGCAATTTAGTGGAGTCAACACAGTCATGCTCTATGCCGTTGAGATTTTCCGTACAGTCTAGCTACTTTTCTTGCAGGATTGAAGTTAGCAAACGCAGCTTCCTAGCCATGTTACAAGTAATTCTTGTGTATTGATTTTTGCACGAAAGATCGTTTTCTGTATAACAGGTAACCGTGACACTCACCTTGGAAAAGGCTGGATATTGCAAATCATGTATAGTTATCATCCGGAGGCATGGCTCTCAGCGCTTTTCTTGTGGGATTCTCATTCTTTCTACGTGTAAGCTTAAAAAGATGCAATGACTTGCGAATGTTCGCGTAGCATTTTTTTTTCCTCGCGACAGAACTCATTCATTACCTTCTGGTAAGAAAAACCTTTTAAGTAAGCGTTCTAACTAAGTGACGCATCTTTCGATCCCAATGCAGAAGCTCCCAAAGCTAGCTATATGGTCTAGAGTTTGGTTTGAAAATTGAAAGAAGTCAATCCAATTTTATGTTGTATCGTTTTCTTTTGGTCCCGGAAAGTATGTCAACCGGAAGCCTTAAATTGGGCGCCTTTCTAAATTGAAGATAGAAAATGGTGAAATTCCCTAAAACTTTTTAGGCGATTGGAGCTATGGTTGAAAGCGTTATTGGACGAGAGAAAGGTCGTCCAAAGCGCCCCAGGTATGATCCAGATGGGATGGAGTGGCTATACGAAGACGAGAAATTCGATGTGGATGATCCACAGGATGTTCAGAATGCGTGCTATGGTATTCGGACCTTTAGCGGAGAGAGATTGGAAGATATGTTGATGAATGCTAGGAGGTTGATTGCACGGCGATGCTTCGAGGAGAAGGTGTTCCGTCTGGTTGAGCCCGAGAGCGACAGCGACTTAAGTTGGATTGAGCCAGAGGCTGTTGCGATGCGGGACAGGTTCCAGGATCTCGTGGCCCGTGTGTTCTTCCAGGGGACTCTGGTGGGAGGAGGCGCTTTGATTCATCCCGATGGCTCGATTCTCACATCGATTTCCTGTCTTCCCAAGCCCCGTGGGGATCCAGACCACGTCTTTGAGGTGGAATTCAAGTTCCTCAAGCTCAAGTACTCAGCCAGAGCTATGGATATAGACGAGTTTTCCTTTACGGCAGTGCTAGTTCCCATTGAGGATCAGACCTCAACATTCCATGGCAAGAAGTGTTTCGACCGACATGTAGCGGTGTCCGACTGTGACCAGATCCTTTACGCCTTTCAGCTGGGTATGGATGTCCCCAAGAAACGTCCAACCTCTATGGATCTCAAACAGCTATGTGTCAAGCAAGGGATCACCATTCGAAGCAAAGCCAAGCCCAAGGTTTCAGAGCTCGTGGCGGCCTTGGAAGAATTCCGAGTGATCAAGATGGTTTGCTATGATGACATTGGGATGCATGGAGAGCTCGCACTGTCCATGGGGGCCGTGGGTGCCATGGCTATAGGGTGCCCGGTTCTAAGTACTTCGGGACG